TCTGATGTGAGGGGTGGAGTGGACCCAGCCCCCTCACTGCTGGTCTCTGGGTCAGTCTTTCAGACAAAGCCACTTGGTCATCTTACTGGGTCCTCAGTGCTGAGCACCCCTTTCATCCCCTCTCATACCACGCTGGCTGAGAAGCCCATCCCCAAATCACTCCTGCTGTGTTTTCTGTACTGAGCTCCACCCCTCTAACTAGAAGATCAAAGTGATTTTTTTTTCAAATTGCCACTTTAAACAAGGTGAACAGCATGAAAGGGAGTGGCCACAGCCCTGCTCTTGCTCAGACTTTGCCAGGGACTTCCAGTTATTTCTAGAAAAGTCAAGAATGCTTCTGCTTCTTCCCAAGACTTCCCCCTTTAGCCAAACTCCAAGGCTGCCACCAACAGGGGATTACAAACTCCAACGGCAAACCACCAAAGCAGGCTGGCAATGTCTAAACACTGCATTTGGGTATACATTAAGCACATAAGAATATTCCTCATTTCTTATCTTTCTTGACACATAGGAACGTCTTAGTCAGTTTCTACCCTTCATTTATAAAGATGTGGCTGAGGCAGGAGGATGGTAAGGTGAAGAACTGCTCAGGCTGTCGAGTGAGTTAAAGGTCAGAGAGGGTAACTTAGTGAAGCCTCATCTAAAAAAAATTATTTTAAAGGTGGGGGGAAGGGCTGGATGACTCAGAAGCCAAGAGTAGGCAACACATTTGCAGAGGACCCATGTTGGAAAGCTCTTCACTGCCTGTAGGTCCAGTTTTAGGGGATGTGAATCTCTGGCCTCTGCCTCCCAACTGCAGAGATTACAGGTGTGCACCACTACACTGAAGTTTGTAGTTCCTTTCTTTATTAAAAATGAAGCTATGTGAACTAAAAACCTTCCCAAGGCAAAGACGGACAGGAAGTGGCGCCTCCAGCCAGATCCAGGTTCGGCCACAGTTGGTCGGGTGTACAGTCCGTTGTCCTAAGAGAAGAGTCTGATTTTTAATTTATTGTCATGGTTTCAGAGGTTTGCACAAAAATAGTGATGTTTCTTCCTTAAAACATACACTATTGAACCATATGTGAGCCTATCTTATTAGGGAGTGTCTTAGTCACTGTTCTGTTGCTGTGAAGAGACACCATTACCAAGGCAACTCTCAAGAAAGAAAGGATTGAACTGGGGGCTCGCTTACCTTTTCAGAGGTTCAGTCCATTTTCATCATGGCAGGGACCATGCAGCCAGTGTGGTATGAGAGGGGATGAGAGGGGTACTGAGTACTGAAGACCCAGTAAGATGACCAAGTGGCTTTGTCTGAAAGACTGACCCAGAGACCAGCAGTGAGGGGGTTGAATCCACTCCACCCCTCACATCGGAACCTCAGCATAATCCATGACTGAAAACTCCAAACCATTGGTCTACATGATCTTCTGACACATAGACTTTCCTTCAGACACTTTCTTCTGAACTCTGTAGATACCTGAGCTCATGTGCACAATGCCCACACACATATCCACATAACTAAGATAATAAAAATGAATCTTAGAAAACCCCCAAAGAATGGAGAGATAGCTCCATGGTAGAGTATGCTGTGGGATGTTCTGTATGGCAAATGTGTTGCTGATTAGTCAATAAATAAAACACTGATTGGCTAGGCAGGAAGTGTAGGCGGGACAAGGAGGAGAATAAAGCTGGGAAGTGGAAGGCTGAGTCAGAGAGACACTGCCAGCTGCCATGATGAGAAACAGCATGTGAAGATGCCGGTAAGCCACGAGACATGTGGCAAGGTATAGATTAATGGAAATGGATTAATTTAAGCTGTAAGAACAGTTAGCAAGAAGCCTGCCATGGCCATACAGTTTGTAACCAATATAAGTCTCTGTGTTTACTTGGTCGGGTCTGAGAGGCTGTGGGACTGGCAGGTGAGAGAGATTTGTCCTGACTGTGGGCCAGGCAGGAAAACTCAAGCTACAAGAGTACCTGCCTAGCATGCATGAGGCTGTGGGTCATCCTAGAACCCCCAAAATAAAACTAAACAACAACAGTAACAACAAAGGGATACAAAAAGATTTACCCCCTATCCCAAATGTAAAAATAAAGATAACAGTATTGGTATGCTAATAAATGATAACAGACACTTGGTCTTGAGGAGATGGTGGCAGTCATGGGTGGTAGGGATAGTTGCAGAGTCTCTGTAAGGAGGTTGGCTTACGGAGACTGCTGTTACCCTGTGGTGGTTTGAATAAGAATAGCCTCCATAGGCTCATTTATTTGAGTACACAGTTGCCAAGGAGTGGAACTTTTAAAAGGATTAGAAGGATTTGGGGGTGTGGCCTTGTTGGAGGAAGTGTGTCACCGGAGGCGGGCTTTGAGGTTTCAAAGCCCATGCCAAGCCCAGAGTCTCTCTCTCTTCCTATGGATCAGGATGTAGCTCTCAGCTACTGGTTCCAGTGCCTGCCTTCATGATGCATGCTCCCTGCCATGATGAAAATGGACTGAACCTCTGAAAGGGTAAGCGAGCCCCCAGTTCGATCCTTTCTTTCATGAGAGTTGCCTTGGTCATGGTGTCTCTTCACAGCAACAGAACAGTGACTAAGACACTCCCTAATAAAATAGGCCCACATATGGTTCGATAGTGTGTGTTTAAGGAAGAAACATCACTATTTTTGTGCAAAACTCTGAAACCATGACAATAAATTAAAAATCAGACTCATCTCTTAGGACAACGGACTGTACACCTGACCAACTGTGGCTGAGCCTGGATCTGGCTGGAGGCACCACTTCCTGTCCGTCTTTATCTTGGGAAGGTTTTCAGTTCACATAGTTTCATTTTTAATAAAGAAAGGAACTATAAACTTCAGTGTAGTGGTGCACACCTGTAATCTCTGCAGTTGGGAGGCAGAGGCCAGAGATTCACAAGTTCTAGGCCAGCCTGGGCTATACTTTAAAAAAGCCAAGGGCTGCTGACATAGTTCAGTGTGCAGAGCTTTGTACTTGCATAGCCCCAGGTTCCATTCTCAGGACTTCATTCTCCTACAACAAAAAGAAATTATGAAGGAGTTTTTAAAGGCCACAGTAGTTTGTTTTCTTGTCCGTGAGCAGGAGTCCCCAGTGTTCCAGTAAGGCCTTGGTTGGTTTGTTTTGCTAGGGTGGACCCAGGGCTTCCTGCTTGTTAAGCACATGCTCAGCCACTGAGCCCATCCCAGCTCCAATGTGGCTCTGATTTTTGAGAACAGTTGAATGCAGTTCATCCACAAATATTCCTGGGCGTCACCGGCTGCAGGAGAGTCAGTCAGTGGGATCGTGGAATTCCCCACTGCCCCTTCTTCCTCCTTAGCCATCAGCAGCTGCTTCTGCTGTGGCTCCGGCTTGGCTCATCCGCCTCTGAAGCCCTGCAGAAAGGCTTGGCGTCCTGGCTCAGAGGGACTGAAAGGCTCCATTTCTATTCAGGTGCCGAGAAAAGTGGGTACCACCCCTCTCTTTCAGACCTCCCATGAGTCACCCCACTCTTGCTGCTGTGGGGTAAGGGTGACTGGTAGGAGACATGGGCTCTTTCCAAGGGTCACCCTGGCCTGGCCCGTCAGCTGCCTGGGCAAGAGAGAAGTGGCTGCTGGTTGGCGGCCAAGCTGAGGCACTCTTAGAAAGGGATGGTGACTCAGCTGTCAGCACACATCTCAGCAGATTGGCAAAGACTGAAATACTTGGGAACAGATGGAGCTGGCGAGGCTGTGGGCAAACAGCCCCCCCGCCCTGCTCCTGCCACTTATCTGGTAAGATGGGTACTGCCACAGGGTTGTAAATGTAAATGACTTTTGACTCAACCTTAACACTTCTAGGAATTTTTTTTCTCTCCTAAGTCCGCTCACATGCCAAATGAGGTATCTATACAGTGCCACAGGGGATGGAGCTGCTGTCACAGCCAGAGAGTGGCCATAGCCCAAGTGTCCCGTATGAGGACTTATTCAATAGAGGACGGCATAGCCCCACACTGGAATATTATACACTTGTGAAAAAGAACCAGGCCCTCTGTACTGGCTACTTTTATGTCAACTTGACACAGGCTAAAGCTGTTGGAGATGAGGGAAGTTCAATTAAGTAAATGCTTCAATAAGATAGGGTTGTAGATGAGCCTACTGGGCATTTTCTCAATCAGTGATTGACATGGGACGGCCCCGCCTATGGTGGGTGGTGCCACCCCTCGGCTGGTTGTCCTGGGTTCCATAAGAAAGCAGGCTGAGCAAGCCACGAGGAGCAAGCCAGTCAGCAGCACCCACCCCTCCATGGCCTCTGCAGCAGCTCCTGCCTCCAGGTTCCTGCCCTGCTTGAGTTCCTGTCCTGACTTCCTTCAGTGATGATGGATTATGACCTAGAAACTGTAAAGTGAAATCAACTCTTTCCTCTCCAAGTAGCTTTGGTCCTGGTGTTTTTAATCACACCAATAGAAACCCTAATTAAGACACCTCCCCCCTTTACCTTCTCACAGGGACTTATCTCCTAGACACGTTAATACGCGAAAAAGCCAAGCCAAGTGCAGACACAATTTCATACGAAGGCATGAAAATAACACAAGTGTCATTTGTCTCTTTATACACGAGATGTTAGAACGCACAAAAAACAATCAATACTGTTGGTCTCTATGTTTGGTGTTAAGGGGAAAAAAGGTACTAGTGAGGATATTTGGTGGCTTTAGATTTTTTTTTTTTATATTTTCATACATAGCTTTAGGTTTATACATTTATAAAAATATTCAGAGTTTTATATTTTCCACGTCTTTAGAACATGGACCACAAGTGCCCTTCCTGGTAGTAACGGGAATGTAAGCTGTGGAAAAATGGCAAGTTCCCAAACACTGCCAAACACCACACACCCAGAATTGGAGCCGGTCCTCGAACCCCAGCCCCAGCCCTCCTGGCTTAGCCTCCAGGCCAATGGCTCTGGGATGCCATGCTCCCCTCCCCTCTCTCACCCCCACCCGCAAGGAGTTGTGGGAACCCAGGACGCTGCCAGTGAGGTCCACTTACCTGCTCCTTCTCTGAATACGGATTGTTGAGGACCACAGGGACGTTGCCCTTCCCCCACAGGTCATTGAAGACTCGGTCATTGTCACCGCCCAGGGGCAGGGCTTTGGGTGCCTTGCCATCCAGGTCTCTGAAAGGCAAGGGCAGGGGAGGGGAGGGTGAGGAAGACTGATAGCAGGGTGGTAGCCTTGATCTGGGAGCCCCATGTGTGTAGAGAACCCCGGCTCACTTGTAGGTCTCTCTGTGTAGCCTGTGGGCCCACACATCTTCATCAGGGACACCGTCCCCCACCCCCACCCCCACCCCAGTGCCACAGGGAAGGCAGTTCTGGGCTTGCGTGCAATGTCTGTGGCTTCAGCATGGCTGCCACATAGACATCACTCAGCCCTCCTCCCACTTCCCGGGGCGGAGAATCTGGCATCTCCCAGGTCTGTCAGCATCACTGTCATCAGGTATGTACTGGACACCCTACCCACCCAGGACAGCTCAGGATGAGGGAGGTAGGGCAAAGGATAGACGGGAGTCCTGCAGGCCGGACCCAAGACTCCTCATTCTGATCTTGACCAAGGTTTTGAGCGTCTTTAACAAGAAATCACCAGCATAGGGGACAGAGCAATGAAAATAATACCACTCAGCATGGTGTCTAGAGTTAATTAGCATTCACCACATGTCAGGCACTATACGTGTGGTTCATGAGTGTGTGTGTGTGTGTGTGTGTGTGTGTGTGTGTGTGTGTGCATGTAGAGGCCCGAGGTGAGGCTCAGGTGTTATTCCTCAGGAGTCATCCAGCTTGCCTTATGAGTCTCTCACAAGTATAGAGATCATGGATTTGATGGGACCGCAGAATAGGAAACTCCATCCATTCCCCTGCCTCTGCAGCTCCAGTGCTCAGGAGCCTTCCTTCATGTGGATTCTGGGGACCAAACCCAGGTCCTCATATTTGCAAGGCAAACCCTCTCCCAGGTGAATGGTCATCTCACCCCTTTGTGTGTGTTTGACTCATCTAACCCTTGAGATGGTCCATGGGGTGGGAGCAAGGATTAGCTGCCGCCATCACACATTCACAGATGGTGAGATGAGAGACAGAAGTGTGTGTGTGTGTGGGGGGGGGGACTGTGGAGGTTAGAGCTGCTCTCAATGCCAGAGTCCAGGATGAGATGAAAGACAAGCCTCTGGCCATGCTGGTGGGGAATTACCTTGGCTGGGTCAACTCATACGGAAAGACCCATCTTGACTGAGGGCAGGACTGTAAAAAACAACTAAAGAAAGTGAACTGAGGCCCAGCATTCATCACTCAGTGTTTCCTGACAGAGCACACAATGTGACCAGCTGCCTCAAGCTCCTGCTGCCTATGATGGACGGCAACCTAGAACTGTGAGCTACAGACCCCCACCCCTTAAGTTGCTCCTGTCACATTATTTTATCATGGCAATGGGCGAATAACTCACCCAGGGGCCAAGGTCCCAGGTGGTCAGTGGTAAAGCCAAAGCTTCCGGCTCACTGCTTGCATTTACTCTGAAGTAGAGGCTCCTAGGGCTGTCCTTATTCACCACCACCGTCACCACCATCGCCACCCTCAGAAACAAATCTCTGGCTTTCCTTTCTCATCAGGAGTAACACTACCACCAGTGACACCCTCACTGTCATAATCATGATCTTTGTCATACTGTCACCATCACTATACCATGACCACCATCACCACCACAGTCACACATCATTACCAACATCAACATCATTACCATCATCAACATAACCATTCTTGCTATAACCATCACTATCGCCACGTCATCGTCATCATCATCATCATCATCATCATCATCACCATCAGTGCTATCTAAACCATCACTAGCATCACACATCATTACCAACATCAATATCATTACCATCATCAACATAACCATTCTTGCTATAACCATCACCATCACCACATCATCGTCATCATCATCATCATAATCATCATCATCATCACCATCAGTGCTATCTAAACCATCACTAGCATTTTGACCATCACCATGCTCATGACATCATCATTACCATCATCACATCACCATCACTGGTACCCAAACCATCATATCACTATCATCTTCATCATCACCATGGTCATCATCACTATCATCGCCATCCTCACTGTGCGGTGGCTTGAAAGAAAATGGCCCGCAAAAGGAGTGGCACTATTAGGAGGTGCGGCCTTGTTGGAGGAGGTGTAACACGGTGGGGATGGGCTTTGAGGTCTCCTGTGCTCAAGCTCTGCCCAGTGTCACAGTTCACTTCCTGTTGCCTGTGGATCAAGATGTAGAACTCTCAGCTCCTCCTCCAGCGCCATGTCTGCCTGCATGCCACCATGTTTCCCACCATGATGATAATAGACTAAATCCCTGAACTGTAAGCCCCACAAATTAAAAGCTTTCCTTTATAAGAGTTGCTGTGGTCATGGTGTCTCTTCACAGCAACAGAAACCCTAAGACATTCATCATCACCATCATTGCTATCTAAGCCATCACTGTCATCTTGACTATCATCATCATCACCATCATTGCTACTATAACCATCAACGCTACGATCACCATGACCATCACCATTTCCTCGCCTTCTTCACCATGACGACGACCACCACCTTCGCTCTAACCACTACCAGCATCACAATAAGAATCACACGAGAAAGGTGAGGTCCAGATACAGAAAGCCATTAGCTCATGTCACACAGTCCTCAACCACAGGCTTGTGCCTGACTCCAGAATGGAATCGCTAGCATGGGAAGCCCCATTGGCTTCCTGCCCTTTCTTCTGATCGGCCCAGGCTAAGGCTATGCCAGCAAGGCCCTATAGGGTAGCCAGCCTCACAGATGAAGACTGGACCACGTTACCCAGGCGCCTATGTCACCTCTGTCCTTTCCTGTGAGGGCTGCTCTCCTGTTCCCCTCTATTTATCTACCTTGCATCCAACTGCAGATGTACTTTATTGTCATACCCCATCCCCAACTTCAAGCCACTCAGCAACTTTGTGTCCCCTGTGGGTATTGGTTGTGGGCATGGGGGCTGTCCCTTGTCTAGCTCTCTGTGCTAACCTTCTTAGCTTTGGGGACTCCCCCCACCCCCGACCAGGTCTGTGTGGATTGTCATTTGGGAGGAATCAGGAGCTGGGAGGCTGGTTCTGGGTGCACGGCCCTGAGTGATTCCGCTTCGCACTGCTCCGATGGGGCCAGCCCACGCCTCCGAGCTGGGTTTCTCCTGGACCCTCCGGCCCATGGCTCAGCCACTTTTCTTCTTCTGCTGGGTGAGGATTACGTCATCAGAGGGAACATTCTGTCTCACCCTCTTTAAAATGTCACCAAAGCGTCCCTAGAGTGGTTCTCGATGGCCAGCATTTCCCAAGTCAACGGACTACCTGTGCAGCAATTAACGAGGGAACGGGCTGTGGAGAGCCGCTTCAAATGTCACTCAGCTCCATTTCAGCTCTGTTGTTCCTGAGCTGACGGCGTCATGTGACCACAAATGGGGGCCTCAGCAGACAAAGGAAGAGGTTAATGCATTTGGGGACGTCTGTAGTGTACCAGGTACTTGTACACAGTTATTTCATCTCATTTCAACAGCCATTCACTGCTCTTGGTTTCAGACGAGAGAGCAGAGCCCAGAGAGGTGATGTGTGTTCCCTAGAGGCCCACAGCTTGAAGCCGAGGTATAAGGCGAGGTCTGGTGGCTGGCTGTTAGCTCACATCCCTTCTGAGATTACAAAAAGGGCCGGGAGTGGGGAGGAAAGACAAGTTAAGATACTTGGATTCTCAGCGACAGGTGACAGAGCAAGAGCCCCAGCATTTGTGAGGTCCATCACCTAGGCAACTGAGGTGGGTCCTCTTGTGGCCTTGCAGGAAGGAGCTCACAGGTTTAACATCTATTTATTTTTGTGTTTTTCCTCCCTTCCTTTCTCCTCTTCCTTCTCCTCCTCCTCCTTCTTTCTTCTTCTTCCTTTTCTTCCTCCTCCTCCTTATCCTTCTCCTCCTCTTCTCCTTCTCTTTCTTCTTCTGTTATGAACAACTTTGTTCAAAGAATGCACTTGGATGGGTTGTCTAACACATGCTGATTTTAGAATCACATATGATGAGCAGGAGATGGACATTTTTAGTATGGAGCCCAGGGAATGTCAGAGCTGAGCTATCTGATCTCCATGAACTCAGGACAAATTCAGGAGTAGACCCCCTGACCCCACAGCCTGTAGGAGAGGAGCTGTGGAGGACCTGGTACCCCGGGGTTCATCTGCAAGATGAGGGCTCTTGAAGCATCCCATGGGGTCTGCTCACAATGGCACCCAGGTAGCATCCACAGTGGGGACTGGGTAAACCAGGTCTGTCCCTTGGCTTTGCTTATTAAGTCAGGTGAGTCTGGACATGGAACCAGCCCCAGTGTGTCCCTTGTCACATGAGGACTAATGACAGCATGGATAATGACGGAGCGAGAGAACCCTCCTGGCACGGGGCTGGGGGAACCGGCTAGTGACTCTCCGACACTCTCCATCCTTTGTTCACAGCCTCATCAGATGGGACAAAGAGACTTCCAGTCCTTCAGGGTCTTGGTCACTGTCCAGGTGATAGTCAGCCACGATGGACATGCTTTCCGCCTGGACCATCTGATATGGTCACTAGTCACACATGGCCACTAGACACTTCTGAAGTACAGGTGTGCAGTCAATATGGTTAGATTCCCATAATTCCTGACCCCGATCTCCACTCTCTCCTCCTCTGTGTGCCCTTTTGCCCACCCCCAGTCGAGTGCTGCCTTTGCTCACCCTTCAAAGCCTATGGGACACCCACCTCTGCTGGGTACTGCATGAGGTCATGTGTATACAAGGCCCAGCACACAGTCAGCACAAACAAGACACTAACTACAATGACGTTCCTGAACAACCAAGGAAGCTGCAGCTCAGAGAGATTGGGTCACTTGTCCAAGGGCACATACCCAGTGAGAGAAGTTTGCAAAGCTGTTTTTTTTTCTCTTAAACCTGGGCATCCTGGGGTATGGGGGTTACACAGCAGACTCTGGAGGTGCATCTGGCTAAATCACATACTCATGAAGAGTTGTGAGCATTTTCTCAAAAAATTAAATTAAAAAATATATTTGAGTGTATGAGAGAGAGAGA